GCAGCCGCGCTGCCCTCCCGCACCTCCGCCGTGCCAGCCTGCCAAGGAGCTACAGGGCCAAGGGCCCGGGCAAGCTCACGCACCCCATCCACCCTCCCTTTGTTCCTTCCTTCCTTCCTTGCTCTCCTGCGCACACGCAGCACCCAGGCATGGACAGAATGGGTCACGAGGGCCGGTGGCTCCAGCGTGGGCTGGGTGCAAAGCAATGCGTAAGCCACAGCCTTGCAGCCCGTTAGCTGAGGCTGCTGCTCATCCGCGCTGCTCCCTAGCATCAAACACCATCTAATTTTAGCCCCGCTGTTCCATAACCCTACCTAGTTCCTATCCCACCCCCACAACTGCATAATAGATGCTTCCTTCAGCTAAGTAGGGTGTTGGAACATTCAGAGGTTCTTTCTCACCCACAGGCGCTAGCGGAAAATGAACTACGGATTTATTTTTAGGTCAAACCTTTTGCCCTTGTTTTCTCTAGAGGTTCCACGTAAAAAAGGTTTGGTAGCTCGGAAATACTCTGATCTCTAGAGCAGCATGCAATGCAAAAGGAAGCAGCAAAGGAGGAAAACGTTACATGGGGCCATGAAGACGCCCTGCCGAGCCCTACGCGAGGCCCTGCTGAAACGCGCGTGCCCCGCGATGCAGCGGCAGTGCGTGGGGTCCTGCAGGGCTCACTGTGCCCAGCGGGATGCTGCGCCGGGCCGCGTGCTCCTGCAGCCTCACGGTGCCAAAGGGGGAGGCTCCTGCTCGCAGGGCTCGGCGCCGCTGCAGCCCGGCACGCCGCGCTGCCAGATGGCCAGGCGCTCGCTGGGGACACAACGAGGCACTGCGCGGCCTGGGCAGCAGCAGCACGCACTGCGTGGCCGCTRCCTCGCACGGAGGCACTGCAGGGGCCCAGCAAGGTGCACCGGGCAGCGGGGCAGCGTGACGGTGCCCTGCCATGAACGGGCACCAAGGGCACGGCCGGCCCCGTGCTCCGTCCTGTGCTGCTGCCCTTCCTGCCGCAGCGAGGAGCACGCGGCTTCCCGCAAACTGCTCCGTAGGAAGCAGCGGGTAAGGAAACACGGGTTAACCCCAGCAGCACCAGCCAGAGCTCACTAGCCCGCTTCTAAACAGAAGGACGTAACTGTGCGCTGCGTGCCTGGCGTGCTTTTCCTTTAAACGAACGCTAACTCCTTGCCGTGGAGCCCTTGCAGCCCAGGGCTGCGCCTGTGCGACGGACAGCGGGCCCCTGCACACRCTCTGCTCAAGGCCACGTCCCCTCGGCAGCGCCGCTGCACGTGACGCAGCGGAACAGGCCTTGCGGTGCCGGCCTTGATTCACCCTCCCGTGCCCTGATGCGGCAGCAGAGCAGAGCAAGCAGCCGAGCGGAGGAGAGAGCGGCGGCTACAGAGCCCCCCGCGCTGCCACCTTCAGCAGCGGACTCTTTAGCTGCAGGAACGCGGCGCCCGCTCATCAGAGCCCCGAGCAAGGGGAAGGAGGGCAGCTCCGCAGCGCGGCGGGGGAAAGAGCAGAGGGGAAGGCGGCGCACGGCCTGGCCAGGGCAGCAGCTCCCGCGGCTGCGTGCCCCGCGTCACACACATTCTCACATGCAGGGAAACTGCAAAGGCTGCAGCCGTAAGTAAATAAAGCACAAAATCCCAGAAATGAGAGGGGAAGGTGACCTATTGAGTCATCTCTGGCTCCAGTCCGTCCCTCGGGGCCCGGCACAAGATGCTTCCTAGTACGGTGCAGTAGTGCTTTCTAAGGGGGGGGGGGGTTACACAGCAAAAAAATGAAAAATACTGACAATATCAAAAAAATACTGCACATGAAAAATACCTCCTAATTCCTCACATTTTCCAGGTGAGGTTCTCAGAGCACAAAACACATGCTGATGCTCCTACATCCTTGGGGAGGACAGTGCTTGTTTTAGCATTATTTCTTTTCCCCCATTTGCAGATAAGGGATTAAAAAAAAATAAACAGGCCTTCCCTTTGCTCCTGTCATCCTGCTGACAATTTTAATCCAAATTACAAAGTCACATTGCACTACTGAGGATGGAACCGCTCCCATCTGATAAAGTTGTAATTAAACAGATTGCATGGGAGCATTGCAGAGATATTTGATTACAACTGAACAGTTTTGATACGTGGGAGATCTGGAAAGTTTTGATATACTAGAAAGTTTATATTCATCACTATTAGCAGGCTTCTGCAATATGCTACAGATACACAAAATTTTGCAAAAACATATAGCTATACATGCATTTGCAGCTACCTTTAAAGCTAAAACACCACTGTAAACAGCACCAAAGCAATTACCTAGGCGCATTGTGCAGGTAGCAGGGTGCTGCTGGAGAAGCGCCCCTTGCGCAGCACAGTCCTCAGCGGCGCAGGGCTGCAGGAGCGCGCTGGGTTTCCCACGGCTCGCTGCGGAACGGGGCCGCCAGGCGCATCCCCGCGGCGCGGTGCAGTGCGGTGCGGTGCCGCAGCCCTTCTCCGCGCGCAAAGCCGCACGCGCTCGCGCCCCGGCGCGCGGCTCCCTGCCCCGGCGCGCGGCTCCCC